CACACTCTTGTGACCCGCTATTTCCGGGGTGCCTTGATAGTCGAAGCAGACTTTGTGCTGTTGAAGCTAGAGAGGTGAGCAGAGTAAGTCTGATTGCCTGTAAGGACTTCTCTGTTGACATCCACCCCTTGGCGCTCATAAGACCTTATGCAGTTGCGAGCGTCGTAAAACCTCTTAAAAACAAAAAACAAAAAACGTATCCCTCTCAACCAAAGTTTGTCCTTACAGACAAGCCGAACTGAAGCACCTTGCCCCAAAAATGATTTAAATTGTGTTCATTGTGTCCATAGGAGGGTAAAATATTTGCAATTTCAGTTGCTATTGTTGTTGTTGTTGCTGCTGCTGCTGTTGTTGGTGGGTAGTTGGCGGGTGCTCCGGTGTGGTTTGCTTCTTCTTTCCTATCAAACATCTATCGTCTTTATCTCCCCTCCTTCTTTTTGTGTTTGTTACTCTCTTGTAACACCTCTAATCTTCAGCACTTCTTTGACCTTATTGTGTTGCAAGTGCGTAAAACTAAAACTAAAACTGTTGTTGTTGTGGTTGTTGTTGTTGTTGTGGTTGCTGTTTTTGTTGGGGGTTTTTAACTGCTTGTCATGCCATTGTCATTATTTAATATGTTCAATACTCCTCTTGTTGGACCGTCTCTTAAATAACCTAATAGTGTTGATAGGGGCGTTAAACCCTTACCATTTTCACCGCTAGTTGGCGCTGGTAGTGTACTGGTAAGGCTACATGAATCGTAATTGTGATATTGTTTTTTTTAAACTAATAGATATGGATGGTTGGCGGGTGCTCTGGTGTGGTTTGCTTCTTTTTTCCCATGAAACATTTATCGTCCTTATCTCGCCTTCTTCTTCTTTTTTTTTTTTTTGTTACTCTCTAGTAACAACTCTAATCTTCTGGCGCTCATATTACCTTATGCAGTTGTGAGCGCCGTAAAACTCTTACAAGAATAAGCAAACTAATAGATATAGATTTATAACGTTTAAAAAAGCATGAAATTGTTTAAGGCTCAACTCGGTCCGACGTTGTGTCCGTGGGAACGGCATTTTACACGAACTGTTCCATTTGACTCTGCCTAGACGCTTAGAAACTAGTTTAAGAACGTATAATATATGACTCGGCTCTATCGTAGATAGACGTTGAATTCACAGGCCCCCACCTCTTAAACCTTTACGATTTCGCACAATTTTAGCAACTATTCATTGCCGTGACCTCTACCTACCCCCAATTCCCGTGCCTTTCCTTTCTACATACCCCTTATCGCTTGTACAGTACACCATCCACCCCTACGAGCTTGCGCACACACTGAATGGTACTTCGCTCAGCAGGCAGGCATCGGTTGACACAGGTCAGTGAAGGCTTATATTAACCCATTGCTTCTATACGAGGTTTGAACGTCGTCGATTCTACTGCAGGACATGTCGCGGGGATAAGATAAGAGCTATGAGGAGAGTATTTGTGAATTAGGTGGAGGAGGAGGAGGAAGAGAAGGAGGAAGAGGAAGACGAGGATAAGTAGATAGGAGGAGGAGGAGGAGGAGAAGGAGAAGAGGAGGAGGTGGAGTAATAGGAGGAGAAGGAGGAGTAATAGGATGAGGAGGAGGGCGAGGAAGAAGAAGAAGAGAAGGGGTGAGTTTGATGATGATGATGATGATGATGATGAATCTTTTGTCACTGGTTATGTACAGAATTCCCTTTGATTTTTCTGAACCACACTGACGAAGCTTGTTAGGTGAAAGGTCTAGTCGATTTTGCATTAGAAGTTGCTTTACATGTACATGTATCTTCTCCTGCATTAAAGCAGGCGCTGACATGTATTTTTGCTTTTCTTAACAACAGTGTGCAAAAAAAAATTTTGTCGCCATGGCGGCCATCTTGAATTATTATTAGGTTCAGATTCTCTTATTTTCAAATTAAAACATTTAAGTTAGAGCCTTGAGATTTGCAGAGCGCATAATTGGCATACTGGGATTTGTTGTTATGAAAAAACACATAATATTATTACACCGTTTTATTATTTTTGAAAAGTTAGTTCTATATCTATCAGTTTAAAAAACACATAATACCAATTGATTTTAAGAGGTAATTGCCACATACCTCTTCATTATGCCATTTAGAGGCCAATTCTATACTTGCCTGCAGAATATCATTTACAAAACAAGTTAACAATTTGAGAAAATCGTTGGTGACATGTGACAAAAATGTAATTTTGAGCAATCGATAGGAATAATTCAATATCCAATGTCGATTTGTGATATTGCATCTGAAAAAACGATTTAAATTGGCTTAGACTGTGACTGGTACATGCGCTCATACTGCAACAAAATAATCAATAATTAAAACAGTAGTAGAGAAACTGTAGTTGAATTTAATTAAATCGTTTCTAACGCAGTAACGTCAATTTTCAGTGCAATGTTATGTAAATGACTGGGTGTCTATTAATGTGTTTTTAAAACCTACTGATGGCATTGTGTATGTTGCATATAAAAGTATGTATTTGTATGTGCTCACTTATATTGATGTATGTGCACGCGTATGTGATGAGAGAGATTGTGTGTGTCTCCCGTCTGTGTGTCTCCCGTGTGTGTGTGTGTGTGTGTGTGTGTGTGTGTGTGTGTGTGTGTGTGTGTGTGTGTGTGTATGTGTGTGTGTGCTTGTGTCTGTGCATGTGCATGGATTTGTGTATGTGTATGTGCATGTATGTGTATGTGTTTCGATTTTTGTATACACTTAAAATTGTGTGTCCATGGGAGTAGGTGTTATAAAAATTATGTATATTATTGTTATCCTAGACTGCACGACATGTACCACAAGCTAACAATTTGCCACTTCATTGTGAACACAGCAAATTACCCCAAAGCTACAGAATCAGAAAATATGTCTTTTACGGTTACTTCTAAGCTTATTGCTAAGCTTTACGTTCACTTAGAACGCGTTGTTAGAATGGTTGAACATTGTTTCTTGCCTAAAATGTGGATATATCTGTTTTTCAAGCCACAGCATCATTATGTATGTTAGTGCCTGCTTTAAATTGTTTGAAAAAGTGATTATGAGACTCCAGTGGCTAAGTGAGTAGTGAGTTTTGACTCAAGCAATGTCAAGCAAGTGTCGGTGACACGGGGATCAGATGGGTGGTCACTGGAGTGTGTCCTTGAGCAAGACACGACAACCCTAGCTCAAATTACAAGGCACTACAGAGTGGCGACCGACAGTGGCATTGTTTGTAAACTGTTCTGTATTTGTGTAATAGTGTTTATTTATGTATGTATTTATGTATGTACGTATTTATAATTATGTATTTATGTATGTATGTTTGCCATTGTAAAACAAAGTGCCCTTCTGGGACAAATAAAAGTGTAATTTATTATTTTTTTTTTTTTAAATTTATTTGTCTACTCTCCTGTTCTACAAAGATGTTTATGGTGATTCTGATGCAAAAGGAGAAGAATGGTGGGTGAACAATAAGAGGACAAAAAAATTGGTGTTCAGAAAAAAACAAATAAACTCTAGACCGTTGTCATGATTTCATATCTCTAGATCTAGGTCTAAATAGATATTCTTGTTTCAAAACTACTCCTGAAAAAACACCGTTTGGTGCAGTCTACCACGATATTGCTATTGCTTCACTACAAGACTATGTACCTTGGAAGACAACCCTTTTTAAAAAGAAATGTATCAACCGCATTCAGCCAGCTTTCTTGAAGCAGAAAGGTTACAATTATTATTTTACCCATGAACTTACTAACTAGGCAGTATCAAAGTATGACTTACCCTCAGAGACCGATATGTCCTTATGAAGTATGCACGCACTATGACAGCCCAAAATGCCAAAGCAAACCAAACAAAATTTCTTACATAAATGTACAAATTAAATATAGAACGGAAGAGAGAGGTAGACAAAAAAGAATGTAAACGCTTTGGAGAGGCCGACGCGGAAAGCTCCTGGGGTACACATGTACCTGTGTTTGCTCCTCTGTGTAGGCCTACTAACTGGGGCGAAGCAGGGTACCTTCAGATACATTATGTAAAGGAACCTCGCCCGCCTCTATTGGCTGGAAAGAACATTGGGTCAACTCGGAAGCCTCGCAGACATTAGATTTGGTAGGCAATAATGACGATTTTGCCAATCACAATGAATTCAAAGGTTAAAATGATTTTTTTCATCAAGAAAATGTATGTTGATACCAAGATCTAGAAGTACTTTGGCGTGGACGGTAAAATACATTTTGTACTTTAAAGATATGTTTTTGATGAAAATCTACTTAAACTCTCCATTCACAACTAGTGCAAACAAGCGGTGACATCATGTGAGAAGACGTTTATAAGACATTTCAGGAATGGAGGGGGGGGGGGGCTCAAATAGACCGTTACAAAGTTTCTTTCTGTAACTAAACGAATCTATTATGGAGCTTAGAAAAAGCTTAACAGTATGGCGAGGAACTTCCAAACCTACTTCCCTTTAAGCACGATGAACAGTGACCTTTATATCATGACATGTCTGTGGGCGCCTATCATGATCACGTGTACCTGTACACGGGACTTGGTTATATGCTCTGTTGACTCAAAGCCTCATATGCCTGAAGCAAATCCCAAAAGAGTAGGGTTACTTCAGAAAAGTACACTTACAAAACAGGAAAGGTTCATCTTGGTCCCATTTCATCTGCGTCATAGATTTAGTAACATTCGTAGTTCTCTATGCTGTTTTCTGGTTTATGGGTCTAATACCAGACCGTCAATGATTTATTTATAGAGGCACAAATGGGTCTAATCTATTTTAAAACATTGCACTGAAAAATTACCACAAATGTTGATCTTTGTATAGATCTAGAAGGAAAAATGTGGGTATATCATTATATTTGTAAGGGGGGGGGTATGTGTATGATATATGGCTGCTTAAGTGTATTTAAGTGTATTTTAGTTTGCAAGTGTACGTATGTATTTGGTTGTATGTGTTTGTGAGAGCATGTTTTGAGGTATTATGTACGTGCATGCATGCGTGTGTGTGTGTGTGTGTGTGTGTGTGTGTGTGTGTGTGTGTGTT